AAACAACGGCCGCGCCACGTGGGTGCCGGGGTGCTCGCACACGCAGGCGCTCGGCTGGGAGGAGGAAGCGGCGGGGGAGGCTCGCTTTCTGCGCCTACGGCCGCGGGTGGAAGCGGAGCAGCTCCTCGGTGTTCATTTTTTATCAGCATGTTGCCTGGGGGGGTGCAGCCGCCCCGCTCCTTTCTTGCGGGCTGTCCCTCCAGCCTGGAAACGTGCCTGCGCTGCTTTCTGCAGCCTGAGGCGGCCCAACTTGAAAGCCAGGCTGGAGGCTGGCGGGAGGAGCAGCAGCTCTGCAGAAAGGAGGGGGGTTACAGTGGACAGCAAACTGGGTATGACCGGGCCATGTGCCCTTGTTGCCAAGAAGGCGAAGGGTATCCTGGGCTGCAGGAGTACGAGTGTTGCCCCCAGGTCAGGGGAAGCTATTCTGCTCCTCGGGTCCACGCTGGTGAGGCCACATCGGGAGTGTCAGCTACAGAAAGGATACGGACAAGCTGGGGAGTCCAGTGCAGGGAAATGAAAAGGGTTAGGGTGGTGGGGAACATGACTTGTGAGGAAAGGCCGAGGGAACTGGGCTTATCGAGCCTGGACAAGAGAAGATGGAGGGGGTCGAACAGCAGCCTGGGCGAGCCCAGCGCTGGACTTTTCACAGCAGTGGCAGAACAAGGAGCCATAGTCTCAAATTGCAACAAGGGAAGTTGAGGTGAGGTAGTAGGATAAACTCTCTCACTAGGAGGGTGGTGAAGCACTGGAACAGGTTACCTATGCTTAGAGGTTTTTTAAGCCCAGGGTAGACAAAAGCTTTGGTTGAGGATGGTCCTGCTTTGAGCAGGGGTTGGACTAGATGGCCTCCTGAGGTCCCTTCCAGCCCTCACTTTCTATAGTTCTGTGATACTGCAACTGCTGCAAATTTCAGTTTAAACTGTTATTCTGCAGAAGGGAAGAGAAGATGGAGCAGGAGCCTTGTCCAATGGCTACTGTATTCATCTAGGAGGGAGACCTGGTTTTTGCTTTCTCAGCAATGTCTTAAGTCACTAGAGTACAGAATCTGTCCTCATTCTGGACCTTTTCTCCTCTTAAACAAGCCTCAACAGGATGAGCAAAAGCCACCTCCCAGTTTTGCCTGTAGGCTGCTGTTTAGTGAAGGGTGAGAAGGGTAGGGAAGCTGGCTTGTTCTAAGCCAGGGGCAGGCAAAATAATGCCCGCAGGCCAGATCCAGCCCATTGGGCCCCTAAAAATATTAGTAAATTAATATTTATTTTCTCCTGGCTTCCTGTCAAAACTGACAGGAGACAAGGGCAATAGGACGCAGGGGAGCCCTCAGCAGAACTGAGCAGCCCATTCTTGCCCCACCCCACTCCCAGCTATTTCACTATCTTCCTGCCCTGGCATCACAGGGCTCCTTGCTGCATCGTGGGACCAGGAAGCATGCGCACAGGCAGAGGGGGGGGGGGGGGGGGGGGTGTGTGTGTGTGTGTGTGTGTGTGTGTGTGTGTGTGTGTGTGTGTGCGCGTGCGCGCATAAAGGTGAGTCCCACTTGCCCACCCCACCATCCACATGTACAGCATTGCCATCCATCTATGCAGACATCCTCATGCACCCCAGCCAGCCTCTGCCCACACACCCCATACCCACCCATAGCCCCCCTCAAACCTATATGCACACCCCACAATATACAAGAGTAAGACTTTGTGGAATCACCTCTGTGTACACTACACAAACGCACGTAAATCAGCTTATGTCAGCTGTTACAATTGTTAAATCTGCACAATCTTCTGGTGAGGAAGTGAGCAAAACAGTCACAGTAACTTTGACTTAGTAGCAACACTGCTGTATTGCTGTAGCATGCAAGTTACGTTGTAAACATTTTATATTGTAACAAATATACTGGTGTAGGAAGTTGCCCCATCTACACTTTTGGATTACAATTCGGGATTTACAACATACTTTTTTGGATTTAGCTTTTAGTAGTGTGAGACTAGGAATTGCAACTGCTTGTTTGAAAGAAGAGACCCTTACCAGTAGAAGTGAAGACTCAGGTACCACTAGCTTCATTCTTGTTCTTTACCCTCTGCACAGCAAATTCCAGTGCCAAAATCTCTCAGCCTCCAGAGGAGTTGGCAGGAAAACGTAATCAATCTTTATAGGATATTCCCAATGGGTTATGAAAGCTATTCCAAGTACGAAGAAGGAAGATGTTAATTCAAAGCCCAGTTTTCTGTATAAGTACAGCCAATGTGCTTCAGGGGGAGGGCACCAGAGCAGGGGGGGTACAGAACATATCCCAGCTTGCAGTGCAGAAAGGAACAACCAAGGGAGACATGCTAAATAGACAGATACACAAAAGGAAGGGTTTTATGGCGATCTCAGCTCAATTATTTTGGAGGCATGGAAAAGGATTCTTGATAGAACAACTGAAGTATAAAAATGAAATACAGAACTAAATTTTGTATTTTTACTACAATTGCTGGGTTTATGAAATGCTGATATTTACCCTCATTATCCCCCAAGGAACACAATTCACAAAACGCTTTTAAAATATTTTTTTAATAAATGTGCTTTGTTCACAAAAAGGAGTGAAATAAAGACAACAAAATGCAAACAAAACATTATGGTATGTCTGTTTTCCTGACGCCTAGAGTATGGGGATCATTTTCCTCATCTCTCGTCCAGTCATGATTTTGAGGAGTTTCAAAATATATACATTCTTCCTGAACCAAAGCTGTCTAGAAGTTTCTGATATTTCTCTCCCGTCATGGGTGGTTGAAGAAATAGCAGGAAGCCTCTTTTCTTCACCCAAAAACACATCTGCGCACCCCCCCCCCCCCCACATCCGGAAAGCAATTGAGATACTTAGATTGGGCAGCAAAAGAACCAGAGTTTTTATAATTATTTGAGGTCCCTAAACCACAAAAACATTGTCACAAGCTGCCAGACAGGCTGAATTCTTGTGTTCAAAGATTAAACTATTTCTACTGAGGTGGTCTTGGTCTGAATTCTTAGCCATACTCTTTGAATGAATCAAACCACGTGTGCAGGTTTATATCAATACATTAATGCTAGACAGTAAATATGTTTTATATAGCTTTTTAAAAGTACCAATTGAAATATGCCATGAACACTTGAACATGAGAAGAATCAGTAATTTGTGTAAACACTTAAGAATTTATAGCACCAACATTTTAGCTTTAACATAACCACTGACTCCAGCAGGGCTCAACTGGGAAGAAGGGGATTTTGACTGCTAAGCATCTTAAATTTAGTGAAAGTGTATTTTAAGCACTAGATATGAACGTCAAGTTCTATTTAATTTATGTAATGTAACTTAATTTGAAAATATACCATTAATTTCATTTAAATCAGTAGCTTCCTGTTAAATTCTTATAATATCTTAAAACAGCATGAGCTTTAATTCATAATGCTTACATCTAGTCTTAAAATTTTTCCATTTTTAATTATAAATTTTTTTAGTTTCCAACTAACTGTATCACTCCCATTTAAGAGCAATCAAGTTTGGTTGTGTAGGGGATTTTTCTTTTTTGTGTGATGTGCAAAAGGTACAACAAGCTTATGTTAAACAAACAATACAGTTTGTGAAAATATTAGTGTAAATAGGATCAGCTATCTAGAAAATACAGTATTTAAAAAGAAAAACAACTACAGCAAATTGAAATTCCAGTGGAAACTTAAGTATTGTCTTTAAAAGAACCACTTGAAGAATTCATATTAGAAAAGGCTGTTTACCCACTAATTTCTGGCTGATGAATACAAGACTACAGTTTGATAACATGACCTATGAAGTTTCTATTGTAATCATTAGGAAACTAATGTTTTCCTACTTAGGACTTCTGGACCACATTTTTCAATGCATGTTCTTTCTTAGGATATTAAATCCATGTTCTGGCATCTAATTTGTGTCACTTTTTTAGGTACCCCAAATTACTGAAGACCCAAACTTTGGGCATCCAGGTCTGTACGTTTTGCCAAGCGGAAGAACATTAAAAAAGCAAAACAAAAAAAACAAAGGGAGCAACAAAACAAGACACCCCTCCCTCCAGTACTTATAAACAGAGCATCTGTTTCCACCTCTAAATAGTATTTGTCTGCAAGGTACAGATTTCTTATGGATTTATACAGATTATTTCAGCATGTTTACAGAACAGATTTTTTCTCTCAGCTGCTTAATTTGAAAGCAACTTTTTGACTACTCTAATTAAAATTTTTTAACAAAATGCTATATTTACTACATAAAGCCTCAATCTTGCAAACACTTAAGGCCATATGTATAACGGAACTCAAATGAGTGGTCAAAGTGACTACTCAAATAAGCGTGCATATTTCCTTAGGTAGTTGTAGAATTAGGCCTTACCATTTATAAAAGTCAGCCAGCTGTCATAACTATGCAATTTGGGAATTCTGCAAATAAGATCTGTAAAAGATTTAAAAAAAATAATACAACTGATCTTTTTCACCTTAAATTTTGTATGTTAAAATATTACACAAAGATTATTTCCGGGGGTGGGGGGGGGGTAGTGGAATATGCAATATGGGCAATACTGCTGCATTAGTGCTACCAAAACCATAAAATTACCCAAACTTTCCAAATGAAGTGATAAAAAGATTGTCTGAATCTACCATATTTCTTTGTTGGGGTAGTCTCTAGTCAGCAAGTCTGCCTAACCTCTCTATGCAATTAGATATTACAATGCATATTGAGAAGAAAATGTCCCCCTGCATTTTGCCATTACCTCAGACTGTTGTAGAAAGTGCAACATAAGTAAAGCCAGATGTACAAGCATTAGTTTCTTCAGCCCAAGCTTAACCGGAATGAAACAGCTTTCTGCAAATGCTTTGTTCAGTTAAAGAGAAAAAAGGACAAATTTAACCCAACATCTTACTCCAAACTATCTGCACATTTAACTATCAAAGTGCAAATTATTTCCTTCCTACATACACTGAGTCCACCAACTCCAGTGTCTTAAGCTTCAACTTTAATAAGCATTTAAAAATAGCGAAACAAGACATTTAGCAAATTAAATAGAATTTACACACTTCACAGCACTGAAGAAAAGAATGGTACCTTTCTGGAAAAATTTAGTGATACAAATCCTAAAGAACATAACAAGAATTTATGCTATGACAAGTCATTTGCATAAAACTTGTATTCTTCACCTTTATACAAGAATAAATTTTAAAATTCAAGATAGAAAAAAATAGCAAACTCTGTAAACTGTTGCATTTCATCTATGCAAACCATTTTTATGTACTGAGCCCATGTTAGTATAGCGAAATTAGTTAAACAATAAAGTTTGGACTTAAAGGGCATGTCAAATGTTATATTAACTTAGAAGTAATATAGGATCTTCTAGCTCATAGAAAGGGATAGAACTAGCCTGGCTTTCTCCAGAGTCTGAGTCATAAGGGGCTTCAGGAAGCTCCATGAAACTGTAAGCTATTTGTTCATCTTCTGTGTCTGATCGAACATAACAGGAAGTGTTAGAATATTCTTCCTCCTCTACACTGTTGAAATCCTGTGGAATATACAGCATCCCTGGATAGTTCCTGCTAACTAAGTCACTTGTCGTTTGCAGGGAAGTTTTCCTAAATGCCATTAGGTGCATATGAGAAAACTTCGAATACTTGAGACGTTTAAAACCCAGTGATTCTATGGCAATTTTCCAGCTTTTCATCATCATAGCATGGCGATTCTGGTGGGAGGAGTCAGGAGTGATAATAAGCAACAAGCCATTCAGCACTAGAAGTTCATGGGCCTTCTTGCAGCATATCCATCGTTGGTAAGGTGATGGAAAGTATGAAAGGAGAAGTGAGAAAACCACCACATGGAAGAGTTCTCCAGGTAGAGAATCGATGGGATTTTTCAACTGTTTAAGAAAGGCATCTATAGCATCTTGTGCCAACTGGAGAGGTTGCTGAATCTGAAGATTTAGGAAGTCACATTTGTATACACTCTAGTGAGAAGGAAAAAAATACTTTTACTAAAGATGTCATGTAAACTCACACGATGCTCATGAATAGATAAACACCTTGATAATCAGCCATTGTGTGACATACCTAATGCTACCAAATTGTGATGTAGAGTCTGAACTTCAGCTTTTAAAAGTATTTGTATTTCCAGTTCTCATTTTCAAAGAAAATGTTCAAAATGTGGACTGAGGCACAGAACAAAATATTTTTAGCAAAACAGAGTTAACTCGTATTTAAAGAGCCAAGACACTATTTTAATTTGATAGGAAAAAAACTAGTTAATATAGTCATCCAATAAGAAAACTGAAGAGTCTTCCACATTCCTCCAGATGTTCAAGCCAAAGATTTTATACCTAGATGCAAAATTATTTTCTATTCCTTCCAATGTACTGGTAGTTACGCATTTAAAAAACATGGTAGCAGCCAAGAATAAATACAATCACTGGGCTACTACCCAGACTATTTACTTTTTTCAATTCTTAAAATCATTACCTTTTAAATTTAAGATACCTAAAGTTTTCCAGAAGTTGGCTAAAGAATTAATGAAATTCACAAAAGTCATTAGGTCCAAATTACTGAAGAATATGAATAAACCTGTTATTACAAAGCATTATTCAATACATAAAGTAGAGCATGAAAATGACAAACCAGGGAATCCAGTTCATACTTCCTTCAAAATAATAAATGCTATAAAAGTATTTTAGAAGTTAAAATATGCAGCTCAGTATGTTTTAGTTTAATGGCACTTCATATTCACAAAGATTCATTAGTTGACTTATTTCAAGAAAATATATTCCTTAAAACACAATTCCTTAACAGTCTCATTAATTTGCATTGGCCAATTATGAATGTCTGAGTTGCAAATTGGCAATTAAAGATAGAAACTTATTTTGTGAAGAAGTAGGACAAGTGGAGTGTAATCTGATAGTTTTCACAATATAACAAAAGCTTCTGTAGTGTAATTTGTAACAAATTCCTTGCAAGAGACTTCTCAGCAGTCAAAAGGAGAAAGAAAGCATTTGCATGTATATAACCATTTCCTTCTCAGAGAATGTGCAAAGAATTAAGCTTTAATCAGCGCTCCACAAATCTTTCAATTGCTTTACACCGGGCTACAGGACAGAAGCTGCAGACTCCTCAGACTGGATCAGCTCCAAAGTGGAGCTCGATCCTCCCCCACCCCTCTAACCCAACAGGTAAATGTCCGCTGGGTCGGGGGGGTGGGGGGTGGAGAAGGGAGAGGTGGTGCTCTAACATATGGTGCTTTATGTGACGTGCCGCAAGCTAGAGCAGGGACCTGCTTATCTGTCAGCACCCAAAGTTAAGTGTCCAGATGTGTGAACCAAAGAGAGCACACAACTACAGCAGGTTTAAAGCATTTAAGAATTTGTCCAAATGCAGAACATGAACAGTTTTAACTATGGGCAGTACATGTTGCACAGGGTTAATGAAAGCAGTGCAACTACGTGGAGATCAAGTGGCAAGTTGAGCAGTATTTGTTGAATCCAACTAAAAGTCTCATTCTAATGCATTCATCTTGTTATAGAAAGTGATGAAGTCCTCTGTTCATCTTCTCTCCTGCTCTTAAGCTGTCAGTGTAAAGCAGCCTCCAACGAGCACATTCGTGCCTAGACATGACCCTTCTTAAAGTAAGTTAACCTTATCATTTAGATACCTGGACTCACCAACCTAATAATCTTAAAAAGGAAAGCAACAGCCAAGGCTTTCCAGTTTTCTCCTCTCATTTCTTTTAAGGGTGCACACTAGAGGGTTGCAATACATTAGCAGTTTTTAAAAGACATTTATCATCTTAGAATTTCCCTCAATGTGGTCCTGCTGGTAGCCATCTTATTCTTCTAATGTTCATCACAAACAACTCCCTCCACACCCACTGCTATGCAGAATTTTTACCAAATGTAATAGCTATAAAATACATAAGAATCAAAATTTAAGATAAACTCAGAAAAATATTACATACCTCAACAGCTGGGACGATGTCTATACCAACAGTCAAAAATTCTTCAAACTTTAGAAATGGATTAAAGCAGCTGCCAACATCAAGCAATCTGATCTTTCCTGAGGGGTAGAGCAATCTAAAAAGAAGCAGAAATCCAGTTTGATCAAATACTATTTCAGAACACAGCTTCTAGAATTTCAGACCCCTGGCAAGTGTTACACTTAAGACATGTTAACCAAGTCCTGAATACTAACCTGGCCATACATTAAGGAAACTATTGGCTTTGCAAAAAAGGGAAACCAGCCTCCCAAAACACTGCACAAAAATGATGTGCAATATTTTTTAAGGCATGATAGAAACCAGCTAAACTGAACATATGGCAGAATGAGGAGAACACCAGGGGCTTCCACTGGCCCCTGGCGTGGTCCCTACTGGCCAAAAAATCAGCTCTCTGTTGGCTGGATCAGGACTGTGCCAACACTGAACCAACACTTGATCAGCTGATTTTTCAACTAGCTTTCAGGACTTCATCAGCTGAATCTGGGACCACACCAGGGCTCAAACCCACCTTAGTGTTGACCCTGAAGGGGGTTCAAGTCCTGATGCAGTTCTAATCTAGGTGATGATCGGAATTATTATAAAACAAATTTATAAATCTTCCATATGTAAAATTTAATTATTAGAGGAGTAGTTTTATATTCAGGGTCATCTTATATTTGATTATAGTACTTTTTTATTTATT